AGGAACCCTGAGGAGCTGATCTCGCTTTGCCAACGCATCTCCAGGTCTGCTGGTTCTGTAGATGCCCTGCAGGGCCAGTCCCCCTGACGCCCGCCTCAGCACCTCTGTATCAGGGATGTTCTCTCTCCTGCCTGCTGACAACTCCTGCTTCTCCAGCTGCTTCTGGATGCTCTCCAGCATATCCGCCAAGGGTTTCTTTGGTGCTGGCCAGAACTCTTTGGGAATCTCCATGGCTTGCCACACAGTCTCTGCTTTCTCCCTCAGAGCATCCTGGGTGTGGGTGCGGCTGTTGAGCATTTCTGTCAGATCATTCAGGGCTTCTTTGGCCAATTCTTGTTTCTCCTTTCTCTTCTCCAAGTGCTCCTTCTGCACATCTTTACTGGTTCTTTTGTCATCTCTTATTTTCAGGAGTTTCTGGAGTGCCTTCTTCTCCCAGGGGTGCCTTACCTCACACTCCAGCTTGAGGTAGTCTTGGTACTCCAGATGTTGCAGGGCTTCTCTGCACTCAATTCCCAGGATCTGTGACACTTTGGGCAGCCAGTGTCCAGCATCCAGCCCTTCATCCTGAAATGCCTTTGCCAGGAGCTGTGCCTTTGTATCCCCCTCCTGTGTGTCCTCCTGCGAAGCCATGGCTGTGGAAGAAGAAAAGAGACTTTCCCTAAGGTGCAGGCAGAGGCCCCAGCCTCTGGCAGAGGCTCTGCAGCAGCTGTGGCCCTGGGGATTGCTCCCACCCGGCTGCTGGAGCCAGGCCTGGGATGGCACAAGAGCCAGGGTCCCCTTCCCAGCACACTGGATGTGCCTGTGGCTTTCCTGTGTGCAGGGGCAACCCTGAAGCTCAGTCTTTATCCCAGAGACAAGGCAGACAGAGACACAAACACAGAGATACACAGAGACACACACAGAAATAGACACACAGGCACAAAGACACAAACACAGACACAGAGACACCCACAAACATAGAGCCAAACACACAACACAGAGACACAGAGACAGAAGCACACAGAGGGACAGGTAGATACACAGAAACAGAGATACACAGAGACATTGCAGACATAGAGACACAGCCACAGACAGGCACGCGTACACACAAACACCGTGGTACACCGAGACTCACTCAGCCACACAACCTGCCCTAGAAAAGCTGCTGCCTTCACCATTGCTCACATCTTCCCAGACGAACCCTTCACTCCACAAGAGCGAGGAGCACTCCTGGCACAGCCCCTCTGCCCATCCGACACCCCTGCCTGCATCCTGCGCCCTCTGCCCAGTCCCACGGCTGCCCTGCTCACTGTCTGGCCCAGCCTGCTGCTCTCAGCACCCGGAGGCAGCGCTCACACACTCCCCCCAGGGCACCCCACACTCCCCAGACACATCCCCCCAACTCCTCACATCCCCCCACGCCCGGCACGGCCACACGGGCTCTGAGCTGTGCTCCTGCTCCAGCTACCAGTGCAGCCCCTCCCTGCCCCACTCACGCCTCTTCCCAGGAGCTGCTTCCCTGCACACCCCACCCCCTTTTCTGTCTGCTCCACTCCTGGGGGCTGTGCCTTTTCCATCGTGGGCAACACTCCCTCCGGGGAAATCGAAACTGTAACCGAGCTCTGAAAGCCAGCATTTCACCAAGAACATCTAAACATCTTCCACACCTTCAGAATCAGAGCCGAAGCTGGAGATCTAAGAACTGCACTGTTCCTAAAAGAAAATCCAGAACTGGAAGAGACTGAACTAAAAAAACATTGTGTTTGTATTAAGTACTATTACTGTTTAATTTGCCTGGCTGTTATCCGAGATTTAAGTGCTTCTTTTTAGTTCTGTTTTTTTGTATCCTTAATGTGTTTTGTTGTTGAGGTTTTATTGTCCCACAAAGCAAAGCAGGTGCTTTGTGGAGGAAGTGAGATTTAATCGTATAAGTTTTGGAAACATTTTAAGCTCCTAATTAAAATTTGAAAGAAAAAAAAAATAAAAAAAAAAAGGTGCAGGTGTTATCAGGTGCCTCAGGGAGGCAAAGACTTAGTTTCAGATAGGCATTGTCCCACCCCAAACCTCTTGTCAAGGGCAGCCCAGGAGTTCTGATTGGGTTTGAGTCCCTGGGCGGTTTCTCCCTTGCTGTGTTTCCAGTGGTCCCTGACCCTGAACTCCACCCTCAAAGGCGGAAACCCTGAAGAGTTCTGTCCCCCAAAAACCCCTGCTCGTCTGTTTGGGATCTGTTCTGGATCTGAGTTTATTCCCATGCTGAATAAATGGTTTCATGAACAAAGGCCTGTCTCGTTGGTGTTCCATACTGGTCCCCAGAACCCTACGGTTTCTCTGGACGTGAACCTGAGATTGAGGACTACAACAATGGGTGAAGGGTGGCCCAGGACTCTGGGTGGGGCTGGGGCCAGGGGCTGCTCTTCCTTCCATCAGGGGTGATCAACACAGGGGCCATGCGGCACACTGGGTCTGTCCTGAGCTCCTGTTCCCCTATGGTTTTTTCCTTCTTCTCCCCTCTTGGATTTTTCTTGCTTCAGCACCATGACCAGGGCTTGCCAGCTTGCTTCTCTGCTCCTCTGCTGCTTGGGAGCCCGGAGCCGCTGCGAGCTGTGCTGAGAGCTGGGAGCACCCCCAGCCCCAGCAGGCCCGGCCTCAGGCCCGGCCATCGCCGGTGAGGCGCGCAAAGGAGCGATTCCCCCGGCCAGCCCCCGCTGCTCCGGCTGTTCTGCTACCCTTGGATTCGCCGGCCCGGGCCTGCAGCGGCACTGAGAGCGGCTGCTCCCCGCGGGCTGTGCAGGGGAAGCCAACTCTCCTCTGCGCGGCGCCCCAGCCGCCATTGGCAGCGGAGAGGCGGCCGAGCCCGCGCCACAGCGCCCCCTGCAGCCGCGGGGGAATCATCGCACCCGCCCGGCCCGGCCGGGAGCCACCAGCGCCCCTCCACATTCACCCATGGGGGAGCTCAAGGACGGCCAGGTAATCTGAGCTTTCTGGATTTCAGTAAAGCTTTCAATCCTTCTTCTCTCAGGACCCTGGCGTGTCCCTTCCAACTCAGGCCATTCCATCATTCCATGATTCTCACCCTAACTGACCTGGCCCTTTCACAAGATATCTGCCTTTCAGCCTTTGGGGTTCTTGACACTGTCGCACAATCCTGAAAACTCTCCCAGTCTCAGTTCACTTGGATACTGGAGAGATTTATTTCTTGTAAAAAATCTTTCTGACCATTCAGCTTCTGTCCCACCAAGGCCACAACTCCCTTACCAGCACAGGTATTGATCTCAGGGGCTTGGACTTGGGGGTAGATCCAAGGGTCCCTGCAGCCTTCCAGAGCCTTGAGGGGCAGCTTTCCCTGGGGAGTTCCTGCCAATTTGGGCAATCTGTGCAAGGCCTGTGGGCTCTGATTCCCCTCACCCACCTCTCAGCAGATGCTCCCCTTGCTCCCAGCCTTGGCTTCCCAGCAGACACCGGCAGCCGAGGGCCCCAGCTCAGGGGACACAGCACAGCACAGCGGCAGGCCTGGGGCACACGGTGGGGCGTGGAGAAGGTGATGGGAAGCCCTGGAGAACGCAGGAGGAATCAGGAAGGAAAGGCCTGAAATCCTAGAGGAGAAGAGCAGACAGTCAGGAGAAGGCAAGCCATGAGCACACAGGATTCATTCCAGGGAGCACTGGAGGCCAACCCTTCTCCTCCACTGGACACTGCCCAGGGAGCAAAGACTCCTCAGGGCTCTTGTGGGGAGGTGAGCAGAGCAGGCTTTCACCTGGGACCTACATCCATGCTCCCCCACCAGAAGGAAGCTGGAGCAAAGCCCCTGAAGCTCAACAAGGCCAAGTGCAGGTGCTGCCCCTGGGTGCAGGCAATTCCAGGCACAGACACAAGCTGGGAAGAGAATGGATTGAGAGCAGCCCTGAGGAGAAGGACTGGTGGGCGCTGCTGGGTGAGAGGCTGTCCAGGGAACATCTGTGCTCTCAGGCAGCACACAAGCTGTGGAGGGGGCAGAGCCAGGGGAACAGCACTGACAGTGGGGCAGCACGGGCCCCGTCCCACCACTGCCCACATCACGCACCTGCTGCTGGGGGGAAGCTCAGGATCCCAAATAGGGGGGAGAAGCAGCGCTGGGCTTGGGTCCCACCAAGCACTGAGCCCCCAGCAGGAGCCCGTGCACTCCCACCAGCAGGATGGGGACACGATGGAGAAGGCAGAAGCAGGAAAAGCATCTGGCTCGAGATAAGGGCAGTTCAGCAGCAGAGGAAAGCTTGGCCTGCAGGCAAAGCACAGGAGAAACTTTAGACACCAATTGTTTGCTTTGGGCACATGTCCAGCTGCTCCCTGCGCAGCAGAGCCTCAGTGCAGGACAGTTGCTCAGGAAGGGAGCTGATGCCTCAGGGTCACTGCTGCAGCTCGTCCACTCGGGCCACTTGTCCCAGCCCTGTTCCCCTCCCAAATTCTCTCCCACCAGAGCGCTGCCAGCGCTGGTTCAGTCTCAGGAGCCAGAGGCTGCCCTGGACAACAATAACTCCAGCCCTGAAGCCGCCCCCAGGCACCCTTGGCAGTCCCTGCACGTTTTCCCATTGCTGCAGGAATAGGAAAAAGGCCCATGCGACTGTGTCCGTGCCCACAGAGAGGCACTGAGCACATTCAGGACAGAACTCGGGATCGAGCTCCTCCTTGGAAGCAAACGAGGGAAGCAGCAAGGCTGGCAGCAGNGGGGACGGGCACTGCCCTGGCCCTGCTGCCACCCCAGAGCTGGCACAGCCCAGGGCCAGTGGCCTCTTGCCCACCTGGGCACACCTGGGCTCCTGTCCAGCTGCTGGCACAGCACCCCCAGGCCCTTCCCAGCCACTTTTCTCAGGCTGGAGTGCTCGGTGGGGTTGGTGTGACCCCAGTTCAGGACCTGGATCTTGGCCTTGGCCCATGGATCCAGCCTGTCCAGAACCCTCTGCAGACCCTTCCTGCTCTCTCATCCCACCTGCTCCATCCAGCAGCAGCTCATGGGGTTTCTGGGATGCTCTGGACCGTCCACGTACCCAGGAAATCATCGGCCGAGAAGTGGTCGGCGTCCCAGACCTGCAGGGTGAGGCGGGCTGGGATCTTGTACTCGGTCTCATCCCAGGAGAACATGGACTCCTTCTTGGAGATGACAATCTTCTCCTCGGCCATCAGGTAGTCGAAGGGGAAGATGTAGCGCCAGTTGAAGTTGCCTTCACCGGTGAGGGAGTGGTAGTGGACATCCGTGTCCTGCTTGTCCTCCTGCTGCCCCTTCAGCCACCTGCAGGGCCCGGGGGTCAGAGGGGTCAGAGGGTTAGGTGGGGCAGGAGAGGGGACAGGGACACCCTGTCCAGGCAGCCAGGGTGCCTCCGGGACTGGAAGGACCTAAAAGTTATGACCAAGGGGCTGGGGCTGCTCCAGTGGCTGCAGCAGAAAATCCAAGGGGCAGGAGGATCCCAGGTGGGACAGAGAACTTGAGGAGAAGGAGATTCAAGGGGGTTGTCTGGGGGTTTACCCTGGACCAGGAGATGTTAAGGAATTGTACAGGAGCTGGGAGCAGAGCAGGATGGAAAGGGATCAGAACAGAGCTGGAGAGGGACTTTGGACAAGGGCCTGGAGGGACAGGACACAGGGAATGGCCTCCCCCTGGAAAAGGGAATATTTGGCTGGGATATTTGGCAGGAATTGTTCCCTGGGAGGGTGGGCAGGCCCTGGCACAGGTTCACAGAGAAGCTGTGGCTGCCCCTGGATCCTTGGCAGTGCCCAAGACTGATCCAGCCTGGCTTTGGAAACGTCTAGGGATGGAAGGTCCTCAAATTCCAGAGGGATGGAGCTGCTGGGATGGCCCCAAGGTCTCCTCAGAGCTCAGGGTTTTGCTTGGGTTCCTTGGAGCTGCATCCCACGGGATTTGTCTGTTGAGTGAGGACCAGGGCCTGGAGCAGTCTGGGATAGTGGAAGATGTCCCTGCCCATGGCAAGGGCTGGGATGAGGTTTCAAGTCCTTTCCCACCCTCAGCATTCCGTGATTCTGTGACTCTCTGAGGTGGTGAAGTTCTGGAAGGGGCTCTCCCTTCCTGCTGAAGGAGGGTGAAGCAGAGACGGGAACAAACCACCAGAACAAGCTCCAGACTGGAGGTGGAGGTGGCAGGCTGGAAGTGCCATGAGGGGACATCAGGACGAGTTCAGAGAGGGGCAGAGGGGACCGAATGATGTCTGAAGTTTCGGCTTTCATATTTTTTAGATTCTGTACTGCCTTAGTGTGACTCTGAACTTCATACAAAGCATTAGCACGCTCTCCTCACAGCTCAGGCAGACAAAACAATCCTTTTCCAGCCCCAGAACCAAGGACACCGTTACAGCCTCGGGCCCAAAAAGCGTAAACAGCAGAGAACTGAGGAGAGCAGTCTGGGAGGATGGGACTGCATCACCTGCAGCTGGAATTGGACAATTAACCCCAAGATGGAAATGGACCAAAACTTAGAAAAGTGTGAAAACTCGTGGCTCAGAGTCCATCTTGGTGGAGCCACGGCCGGGCTCTTGCACTGCCCAAGGTGTATCCTTGGGAGGCCTTTTAATAACACCCGTAGGAATACCAGAGGAATAAATACTTCATTCCTTTAACTCTGTCCAGACTCTGTTCCAGGTCAGCTTCTCCAGGCATCAGGGTCTGATGCCCACCAGCACCACCCGTGTCCTGCCCTTCTCCCTGCTCCAACCCCAGTGAGTCCTGTCACCCGCCCCGGGAGAGGTGGAGGAGGCGCCGGTGGAATTCCAGGCTGTACCTACCCCCTGACGAAAATGTCGCTGGATTTCTCTCCGGTGAAGTAGTCGTCATCCTCCAGGATGACCTCGTCGGTGTTCCACACGATCACCCTGAGCTCGTACCTGCCCGAGGGAAGGGAGGGAAAGGCAGGTGAGGCACGGGAACAAACGGGGAATGGGGTAAGAGGGGATGGGGTGATGCTGCCAGAAAGCAGAGCCGGCTGCCAGGAACAGGGAACTGCGCACAGGGATCCATCCCAGGGATCAGGAGGGGATCTCAGCCATGGAGATGATTACAGGGATGGGACTCTTCCTGGCTGGGAGAGCTGGGAATGCTCACCTGGAGAAGGGAAGGATCCAGGGAGATCCCAGAGCCCCTTACCAGGGCTCCAGGAGAGCTGGAGAGGGACTTGGGACAAGGGATGGAGGGACAGGACACAAGGAATGGCTCCCACTGGAAAAAGGCAGATTGGGGTGGGATATTGGGAAGGAATTCCTCTCTGGGAGGGTGGGGAGGGGCTGGGCTGGAATTCCCAGACCAGCTGTGGCTGCCCCTGGATCCCTGGCAGTGCCCAAGGCTGGGATGGGGCTTGGAGCAGCCTGGGATGCTGGGAGGTTCCCTGCCCATGGCAGGGGGTGGAACAAGATGAGCTTTAAGGTCTCTTCCCACCCAAACCATTCCATGATTCCACAATCTCCATGTGAGCTCGGATCAGGCTCTCCAAGTGAGCCGAGCACCAAGGGAAGCTTTCCCTCCTCTGCCTGGAACTTGCCAAAGGCTCAACGGGGCAGCCCAGGCTTGGATTTTGGGAGATTTCTGACAAAAATTGGGGTCTGCAAAACAACCAGAGCCCAACTCTTCCTGCTGTCCCCCTTTACTCAACAGGGCTGTGACCTCACCCCAAAACAGGCCCAGACTCCTCCTGGGGACTCCAGGAGGTTCGGGGTCTCCAGAGAATTCCCAGCACTGTGCAGCAGCCTGGGGACTTTCCCATCCCTTCTGCTTGGGAATTTTGGTGATGGGGGGAGTGGCTCCTGCAGTGGGAGATGATTGGAGGAGGAGCAGAATCCTGGCTCCCGCAGCGAGGGGAGGCTGGAGGGAGGCTCAGGACACGTGGCCACAGCTGCAGAACCTCACTGGAAGCACCAGGGAGTCTCCAGATGAGGGAAGCAGATTTACAGCTTCCTGAAACCCCCTCCTTTGGGATCTTCCTCTGACAATGCCCTGGCTGAGCCCATCCATGGGATCCCTTCACCTTTCCCAGCCCCTCCTGCCTGTGCCTGCCTGTCCCATGCTCCCTCTCCCAGCTGGGATCCAGGGATGTTCTCTCCACCCAAGGTGTCGGCTGCCTGGGCTGCACAAGAGGCTCCCATCAGGATTCCCAGTGCCATCCCTGTATCCCAGCCCTGGGGGCAGGAAAAGGGGCCCGAGGACCAAAGCCAGCAGGCTGAGAAAGTACTAGAAGGGATATTGAGGGAAGAAACCTTCTTCTTCCCTCTCCATGTGCAGTCCATGCCTGCTCTTTCCTGCTTGGAACCATCGGCAGTCCCAGTAGCCTCCGCCACCCGTCCCTTCCATCCATCACCTCCTGGAAAAGCCCATCCAAACTTCCCCGGGATAACCCTGCCCCCACCCAGGAGAGGCTCAGGGCTGGGCACTCTGCACCAAGGCCTGGGAACGATGGAATTTCCCAGTTCACACAGGCAAGAAAGACTGGGAGCTGCAGGGGATGGAAGGTGTGGGATACCACCCTCAGGAGCAGCTCTGGAACTGCTGCCCCTGTTGGGATCTCTGGGAATGCCAGCATGGCTGAGGAGCCCAAGCAGAGGGCTGGGCTGACCATGGAGCAGCAGCAGGAGGCAGGAGAAGCCGGGCTCCATCCCCAGCCTCACGTTTTCACTGGGGTCAGTTGGCTGGGCTGTTCCTTACTTCTTTGGTTTCCTGGGAGAAATGTCGATGGCAGGGCCGGGCGCTGGCATATCCATGGGGAACATGTCCACCCACATCTCCAGGCGGCCCTGTGGGGTGTGAGAGGCATGGTCAGGTCCCCTTGTCCCTCCTGTCCCCTCCTGTCCACCAGTGTCCCCCTCTTCCCACAGCCATCGCTCCGGCCATGCCGGATGTGGAGCGGGACAAGCTTTTCCCGTGCCATGAATCCTTCTCCACCCCTGCAGGAGTGTCTCAGGGCAGGGGGTGGAGCTGGATGGGGTTTAAGGTCTCTTCCCACCCAAACCATTCCATGATTCCATGATCTCCCTGTGAGCTTGAATCAGGTGAGCTGAACACCAAGGGGAGCTTTCCCTCCTCTGCTCCAAACCTCTTCCAGGAACTTGCCAAAGAGAGAGCCCAGGCTTGGATTTTGGGAGATTTCTGACCAAAATTGGGGTCTGCGAAACAACCAGAGCCAAACTGTTCCTGCTCTCCCCCTTTACTCAGCAGGGCTGTGACCTCCCCCCAAAAAGGGCCAAGAGTCCTCCTGGGGACTCCAGGAGGTTCGGGGTCTCCAGGGAATTCCCAGCACTGTGGAGCAGCCTGGGGGCCTTCCCATCCCTTCTGCTTGGGAATCTGTTGGGAGTTTTGCTCCCAGGTGCCCAGACGTGGGCAATCAGGAGGGACTGTGGGATGTGAAATGGACGAGGATGGCTCAGGGGGCACTGGAGTTCTCTGCTGGCATACTGGGTTGACCCGCCCACCCCGAGGTGGGTTGGGGCCGTTTTGGCCCCTGTGGGGTGCCCCCGTTCCCGTTGGAATGCAAGACCTGCTCGATGCCCGGCTTGTCAGGGTTGAGCAGTGGCCGTGTCTCCACGTGCTCGGGGACAAGGCGGCAGCCGGCCCGCGGGATGTCCTCCCAGTGCCGCAGCACGGCCAGCGCCAGGTGCTCGTCCGTCGGCTTCTTCTGGCCTGGAGGACAAAGGAGAGCTTGGACACCTGGGACAGGGACATGGGGACAGCAAAGCACCCGGGGCCTCCACCCATCCTCCAACTGCCTCATCCTCTCCTTCCCTTGGGAACACTCTGTTCCTCAGCTGGCACTTCCTAACTCCTCCTTCCTCTCTCCAATCCCTGTGGAAGGTTCAGATCCCTGTTCGGTTTTCGCTGTCGGAACCAATCCTGTGTCCCCTGGCCACGTTTTCCTTCTCTCCTTCAGCCCTCCTGGCCTGTGTCCCCCTTCCTTGGGCACACGCTGAGTGTGTTGGGACACAACCCTCATCTCCCACAGTTTGGGGATGCATTCCCATGGAAAACAATTCCCTAAATGCTGGAGGTGTCTCCATGCACTGCTGGAAGGGCATTTCCAGAGGCAGGCTTGGGTGTCCATGGGTGTCCTTGGTTCCAAGAGGAACCCGCTGGTCTGGAGGGTCTGTGGGACTCTGTAACTGGTCCCGTACTGGGATGGGGACTGCAGGGCTAGGCCCACCACATCTGTCTGGGGGGGTTGGACCTTCAAAAGTCCATTTCAAACCACTCCATGATTCAAACTCCCCTGAGATTCCAACCCTGGATGATGAGGAGACCCCCCAGACCCTCCAGAACCTCCATCCCACAGGACCATACCATTTTCATCCTCGATCTCCGTGGGGCCGGTGAAGACCCTGTTGGCAACTTTCACTCTTCCCCCTGGCCCAAAGTGCGGCCCGTCCACTTTTCCCTCTTTGCACAGCTTGGACAGGATTTGGGAGGGCTTCATGGGGTCACGCCAGGTGTTGTACCCGTGGCTGGGAACAGGAGGGCAAGATCAGCCAAAAAAGGTTGGGAGGACAAAGGAATTTTTTTCCCTTTTGCCAGGAAAAAACCCCACTCCACCATGAAGCACTCGGAATTCCCAGGGAAGGAATTTGAGGCAGCAAAGGTGAAACTTCAAAGCAGACTTGATCCCTCTGTGCCCCTTTTGCAAACTCCTTCCACCCCACTTTGGCTCAGACCTGGAATTCCCGGTGCTTGATTCCTGGTGCTTGGCATCGCCCCGTTTGCTCTGCTCCTATTTCAGCCCTGACCTCACCCCTCTTCCCACCAGTCCCCCCAGTCCCTCCCTCCTGCCCTGGGCTCCTGACGACCCATTCCACTGCTCCCTAAGGTTGGTCACAAAACCAGGGATAGCACGGACTCCTCCATTTATCCCTGCCCCTGGCGGGATTGGATGGCATGAAGGTTTTTCCCAAACCAAGTCATTCCAGGACCAGCAGGCAGTGAAGGGGGGAGATTCCCGTGGGAGCTCTGTGTGGGAGGTGGGGCAGGGAAGGCTTTTCCCGTACATGGAGTAAGTCTGGGACACGCCACAGGTGGCCCGGTGCTTGCTGTAGAAGCGATTCTCCAGGTCGATCTTGGTCTCCCCGATGAGGTCGTCAGTGCCCACCAAGTCCCAGTCGTACACAGCCACGGTCAGCATGGACTCCATGGGGAAGGTGGCCTCGATGTCGAAGGATCTGGGATTGGGGGAAGCAGAGAAAAGCTGCTGCAGGGTCCGGCTGCCACTCAGGACAGACCCGTGGGGAAGCTCTGTCTGCTCCAGTCCACGGACGGTGTTCAATTTGCATCCATCACCGCAGGACATCTGAGGTGGGGTTTAACTCAACCACCAGCCCTTGATGGCGGGGAAAGTCCTTGACCTGGGTGTCCCAACAGCCCCGAAACTGAGATTGTGAATTATTCTCACTCAAATTCGGGTCTAATGATTCCTAAATGTGTGTTTCACCTTGATCTGATAAACTCCAGGTGCATCTCTTAAACACTCGGTGCTACACTGACCACACGCTAGCCAAGAAGGACATCCTGGAAGGACATCCACACTGTGGGATAAATCCCATTGTTCCAGCTGAAGGAGCAGCCATGGGACACCCCAGCTGCAGGCCTGAGGGCTGGTGGGCTCAGGCTCAGCTCGGCAGTTCCGGGCACAGACTCACTTCCCAAAGACGGGGTTCAGCTGCTTGGAGATGTAGTTCTCCTTGTCCTTGATGTCCGTCTTGCCCAGCTTGATGGCGATGTAGGGATCGGCTTTCCCGTTGATGTCAGCCGGGTGGAGGTCCGTGGCCTGGAGGGAACGGATGGGGTGGGTCAGCGCTGTCCACAGCAGCCAAGGATTCCGGGATGGGCCTGTTCTCCATCCCCGAGATCACCCGGCCACTTCAGTTCCTAAACTGAGTGTCTTGGATGCAAACAGGGATGAAACAGGATGTCTTGGATTAAACTGGGGGTATTCCTGCCTCATGTAAATCCCTGTGCTAGTTTAGGGAGAGGTTGGAACTGGCTTTGTCCTGAGATGTCACCACAGTGACCGCTGGAATCTCATCACAGGCAAGAAAGAGACTCTAAGGAAACACCCCCAGCAAGAACCTGGGGATGCCAAGACATCCATCCACTTCTCCTTGTGTCCTCTCCATGCTGGATTCTCCCCAGAGAGGGGGTGAGGACCCCCAAACTCTCCAGTCCCACCTCCAAGTATGGCCCAGCAACAAGAGCACATCCACCCAGTCACGGCTGGTTGTTTCGGGTTGACCAAAAACCCCCAAAAAGTTGTCCAAGTTCTGCCATACCTCCCCCATCCCCAAGTTGGTGTCCATTCTTCCAACCTGGTCATGGATGGGATACTCCATATCCCAGTGTGAAGCACCTCTGGGTGGAGAGGGAGCCAGAGGTGGTTCCATTTGTAATACACTGGGACAAGGTGGTGGCAAAGGGCAGCCTAGGTGCTTCCAGCAGCATGGAAGCTCCCCAACAAGAGCCTGGCTGCAGAACCCCACGCCTGGGGACAGGGGGATGACCAGTTCAGGGGTCAGGAAGTGACTTTTTCCATATATAAAGGAAAACCGTGCATGGGCTGGATCACATCAATGATCACGGAGGTGCCATGACCTTCACATGGATCTCCTCAGTCCTGCCAGATCCCATTCCACTCTCTTTTCTCCCATTCTCTCCCATCCCGAACCATCACTGGGGTGGTGATCTGGCTGTGGAAAGAACCAACAGCTCACAGTACAGGCTGATCCAAACTATCCATGGGAATTGGGCACTAGGACATGCCGGTCCATCCCACCTGCTGGAGAGAGGCCTCTGGATCTGGCAGGAACTTGGATCTGTCCTGTTCCTAGTGCTGGGAGCACACAGCTTGGGAGACACCGTTCAGGGTCTGGATATCCTGGGATATCCCTGAACAACTTGGGATGGTGGGAGGTGTCCCTTCCCACAGCAGGGAGTGGAGCAGGATGGACTTTAAGGTCCCTTCCAACCCAAACTATTCCATAACCAAGGAGCTGCTTCAGTCCTTGAGCTGCATCCTGGGTCCTGAGGCACTGCAGCTGAATCCCACCATCGCTACGGCTCCAGGACCAGCTCCAGGTGGGAGGGAGTGCCAGATCCCGCCTGTCCCACCCCCAATTCCCACTCACCCGCACGATGTAGACTCGGACCAGCACATTGATGGGGTCATTGCTGGGAATCCCCTGGAACATCCCGAAGGTGGGGTCGTATCCTGCCTCCTTGGTGATGTCATCGGGGAGCGGCACTTTGTAGACGCACATGGAGCCCTGGTGCGAGGGAGGGCACGGCCCGGCTGAGTCCTGCTGCCCAGGGCCTCCGGGGAAGTAAACCCATCCCAAAACACCCTCGCCAAAGTCCAGGCCAGCATTCCTAACCACTCACTTTGAACCTCCCCACGATCCGCTCCTCCTCCGTGGCGTTGTCATCGTTGTCCCCAATCTTCCCCCGGAGCAGGTTGAAGGTGTGCAGCCAATCCTCAAAGTTGTCAAACTCTGCTTCCAGCTCTTTGTTGAAGACCTGAGATGACAGGGAGTTAAAAGGAGGGAATTTGGGATAAAAACAAAGGTGATCAAAAGGTGTGGTGAGTACTCAAATCAGCGCAGAAGGAACAAGGGACAGGGCAAGAGGAAACGGCCTCAAGCTGTGCCAGGGAGGGTCAGATTGGATATTGGGAATAATTTCTTCATGGAAAGTGTGGTCAGGCCTTGGCAGGGGCTGCCCAGGGACGTTTGGAGTCCCCATCCCTGGAGGTGTCCAAGGAAGGCCTGGATGTGGCACTCAGTGCCCTGGGCTGGTGACAAGGTGGGGATTGGGCACAGGTTGGACCTGATGGTCTGGAAGGGTTTTTCCAGCCTCAGTGATCCTGGGATTCTGCAAGCATGGACACCTCAGCTCCCAGTGCCTAATTTTTCTAGGAAGGAGAAGGATCTCCAGCATTACTGAGCTGGAAAAAGGGAATGTGGGATCTCTGTGCAAGATCCAGGTCTAAACCTTGTCTGAACCCCAGCAACACCAACCCTGAGAAATCTTTGGGATCACGGTACCAGAGCCCACCCCCATCCAGAATCCTGTATTCAGGCAGGAAAACTCTCCCGCCGAGCTGGGACAGCTCCAAGCTGCTCCTGGGATCAGCCCATCCCAGGATAAGCCCTTTTCTCGTGACCTCAGACTCCTTCCAGCTTTGGAGAGAGGCTGGGAAGCCTTGTCCCAGGATATATCCCTAGGAGAGATGTCCCAAGGCATGTCATCCCTACGATGAGGTATTTCCTTGGAAGCACCCCCAGTACCTTGAGTTCATCTATCTTCTGCTTGTTCTTCTTCTCGGGGAGCTCGGGGACAGGCTGCTGCTTCTTTTTCTTGTCGTCTTTGGGTGCCTTGGACTTGTCCTTGTCCTTGTTCTTCACCTGAGCCTTGGAGCCTTTCGGGGGAGAGTCACCAAGTTTGGCATCACTCTGAGTCCCCTCCCTCTGAGGGAGGGAAGGGAGGGAGGGGATGGAAATGAGGGTGAGGAGAGGTGGGGGAGGTGTGGCAGGGATTGGACAAGGTCCTTCAAAGAAGAGGAGCATGAAAGCTGCCACTGCCTGCAAGTCCCATCCCAGCCCTGTCCTGTCTTTCCTTGGCTCTGGATCTCAGCGTCTCCCAGAGCCCAGAGATCTCTGTGCAGGGAATTCCAGGGCTGACCTGAGCAGGAATCACTTCGAGGAATACAAAACATGGACAGAGCACTTTGACAGTGGTGAGAAAACCCCGTCCCGCCCACAGCAGCTCCTTTTCTTCCTCCTACCAGAGACTTCTCCTGATTTATGGAGCCTGGGGAGTGGAACCCCGGCCTGGGAATACAGAGGGGACAGTGCTTGACGCCGCTGCCCTCAGATTGTCCAGGACCAGCTGTAGCCACAGGTCACCGGAGTCTCACTTGGAACAACCACCAGCCGTGGAGAGCTGGGAAGAGGCTGCTGGAAAAGGTGGATTCAAAGGGAGCTCCTTCCCCTCTCTGCAACCCCTGTCCCTTGGTGCCTCTGCCAGCTTCCATGAGGGCTGGATGGTATCCATGGGGGTGGACAGATGGGAAAACCTCACGTGGACAAGGAAAGGGGGAAGGAGTGGAAGAGACAAGGGAAATGGATCATTCAAAAGAGACAGAAAGAAAACCACAGAGGACACTAGTGCAAGCCCAGAAGAACCTGCTCAGAGCTGTCTCCAAGCTCAGCAAGACAAGACCTCATTTTTTCCCGGGATATGAAGATTAATCTTCCAAAAGAAACCAGGCTCAGAATTTTACTCAGCTGAAGGATTTTGTGTCACCTGGACACAACCCCCTGCCATGGGGACATGGAGCATACAGAGAGAAAGGGTGGAATTCCTCAGGGATACCTCTCCCAGCCCTGCTGGTGGCATGACCAGATGGACAAAGTCACCCTTGACTAACCAGTCCCAGGACTCTTGCCCGGCATCATTTCTGGGACAAAATTAGTCTCCCCCAAATTTAGGCAAGGTCAGAAGCCCACCTGACCTACAAACCCGACTTCCTTCAGAGGAAAACGCAGGGCATCATTCATCTCATGATTTTATAAAAGGATAACAAGTGAAAAATAATACGTGACATATAAAATTATAAAAATTGATAAATTAGGTGAGAGAACGTGCTCTAAATTGCATTTGTCTTCACTGCTCACTTTAGGACAGCAGACAAAGAGTTCAACACGCAGGGAAAAACACCCGCAAAAATTGACCCTTTTTGGGAAAACACAACACGCTGGGAGTGTCTGCTGTGCCAGATTCCCAAAGGGATGCCCAAGCACCAAGAGGAATCCTGATCCCACCTTTCCCTGCTGTGTTTCCTCTCTCTCTCCCAGCCTTACCCTCTCCAATCTCCGTCTCTTCCTTCTCCTCTGCTTCGGCCGCGGCTGCTTCCTGCTGCCGGAGTTGCTGGGGAAGAAGGGAAGCCATGGGGTATTAGTTTTTATTTTTATTTATTAGTTTTTATTATTATTATTTTCCTGGAAAAGCTGCCCAGGGCAGTGATGGAGTTCCCATCCCTAGAGGGATTTTGAAGCCACATGGATGTGGCACTTGGGGACACGATCAGTGGTGGCCTTGGCAGTGCCAGGGCATGGTTGGACTCAATGGTCTCCAAGGGCTTTTCCAGACTGAGCAATTTTGGGATTCCATAGGAGTCACGGGATGAAGCACAGCCCCAGGGCTTTGGAAGGAGCTGGAATTAGGGGGGACCTCGCAGGAAGGGAACAATCTCCCCCAGGTACCCCTCACTGCTGCTCCTCACCCACCTCCTTCATCGTCTCAATGGAGGCAAAGTACTTGGACCACCAGTCCAACATGCTCTCATCCGGTTCTTCCTCCTCCGCTTCCTCCCCACCTCCTCCTCCTCCTCCTCCTTTCTTCTTCTTTTTCTTTTTCTCCTTCTCCTCCTCGGTCTGGAGGGACAAGGGAAGCACAGACAGGTGTGGACATGATTTTCTGAACCTGAGAGAATTTTAAGCTCTCAGGGGCTGATTGTTACCAAGGGCAAGTCTTTTGAGAACTTTTTCTCTCTCAAGGACTGTTGTGAAAATCTTGTTTTGGTTTCCCAAAACAAGACACAGATGTTCTGAGAGTGTTTTCTCTCTTGTCCCACCAATGGGGTGAGGGAGGTGTTGTCCCCTCTACCAGTCAGGATAACCTGTACCGGAACACCTTATAAAAGGGTTGAAAAACCCCAAAATAAAGGTTTTTTGCCTCATGAAAAAACCTCTGGTTGCTTTGTGTGGTATTCGGAACCCTTGCTCTATACTCCTTGTCCTCTAGTGACAGGCAGGGAAGGGGAGGGATCAGGTGAAAGGGAATAATTTCTGGAAGCACGAAGGTGGGGGTGAAGCATTTGAGGAGAGAGAACCCCCCGAGCTCGGGGGCCTCATGAACTTTCTCCCTTTTACAACCACTGAGGCACAAAACAGCCAAGGATGACCGAGGCTATGGAGACAGTGCCAGAATCATGGAATGGTCTGGGGGGGCAGGGACCGTAAAACTCATCCAATTCCAATCCTGACACTTTTCACTGTTCCAGGTTATTCCAAGCCTCATCTAACCTGGCCTTGGATACACCCAGAGATGGGGCAGTCCCACAACACCTCCACATTTCCATCACCCTATTTTTCCATGCATTTCCCGGGCTGCATCTCTGGAATCTTCCATGGCAAGAGTCAAACTGTGCCCACCAAAGCACCTTGGGACCACTTAGTGGAGCAAGGGAACCTTTTCCAGCTGGTACCTGGGAATACCCAGCATCCCTCCCACAGGGCGCTGCCCGTCCGGCTCCTCCTGGGACAGCCGGGATGAGAAGTCCTGGCCCAAAAGAGCTTCCCAGACTGCAGGAAGGAGGCCACTGCCACATCTCTTGAGGGGACAGTGCTGGTGTGTGTCGTCGTGGGACAGAGGGGTGATGTCCCTGCCTGGATCAGGCTGGGAAGGGTGCCTGGTCTGCTGGAAGTGTCACGGAGGGGTTGGGGAGGGAGCAGAGAGTTGGGAGCAGGGATGCAGAGAAGATCCATCACTTACCACATCCACCTTCACCACTGCATCGGAATTCTGCCGCCCGGGATGGAAGGGAACAGGGAGAGGGAGAGCAGGTTCAGGACACACCCTCAGCTGAGCGCAAATCATCAAACCCCAGAATGGTTTGGGTGGGAAGGGACCCTAAAGCTCCTCTCATGGGCAGGGACATCCATTCCACCATCCCAGGCTGCTCCAAACCCCTATGTCCAAACTGGCCTTGGACACTTTTGGGGACACAAATGGCAACCCAGCTTCTCTGGGAATTCCAGCCCAGCCCCTTCCCATCCTCCCAGCTGGGAATTCCTTCCCATTATCCCATCCAGCCCTGCCGTCTGCCACTGGCAGCCATTCCCTGGCTCCTGGCCCTCCAGCCCTTGTCCCCAGTCCCTCTCCAGCTCTCCTGGAGCCCCTTTGGGCCCTGCAAGGGGCTCTGAGCTCTCCCTGGATCCTTCTCCTGCAAGGGGCTCTGAGCTCTCCCTGGATCCTTCTCCAGGTGAGCACCCCCAGCTCTGCCAGCCTGGCTCCATGGCAGAGGAGCTCCAGCCCTGGAGCAGCTTGGCAGGAATCTGTTTTTGTGGAGGAAGCTCTGGAGCAGAAGGGTGGGAAAAGGAGTTGAAATTCCCATTCTGGGCACAAAGAGAGTCACAGGGACATTCAGTGTGACACAGCCCGACAGCCCTGGGACAAAGGTGCTGCCACACGGATACTCACAGCTTCCAGCTTCACCATCGTGTCCATCTTCTTGATGGGAACCTCGGGCTCCATGTTGACAACGATCTCCCCTGTGGGGCGAGAGCGATGGGCCCTGCTGGTCATGGCCAGGCAGCCGTTGAGGTGTTTGGCTGGACAGAGGACAGAAAAGGAGAAAGAACAAGGGAGAGGGACAGTGGAGAGGAGAAACCGATAGTTCAGGCGAGATCCTACAGGATTCAGGCCAGAAAATGAGAGAGTTCAGGTGAGATCTGTTGGAGTCTGAGACGCAGAGTGTGTGCCTTTGTTTCTTATACTTAGTTCTAAGATCCAGAAAAACACTGAGTTTCATACAATATAAAATTCATGAGCATGTTTTCATGGTGATACATGAAAACAAAGATAGAAAAGCTAAAAGTGTGAGTGTGTAGATTAGAGAATCTCTTAAGTCACTGGGTGAAAAAGTTAGTTTAAAGTTAGTTTAGAAAGCAGAAGGCAAGATGGAGGATTTAGAATGTTGTTTCTTTTCCTTCTTCTTTCTCCTTCATGTTCTTCTCCTAGAGGTTTTGGGGTGATAGTGAATGATTGGTCAGAAAATGCCGCAGTGCAGCACAGAGGTGATGGGTCATTGGGTCATTAAGAAAAATAATATACGTGTCTGTTGTTAATTGGGTAAAATAAGTATAAAGATAAAAGAACTGCGTAGTTTGAGGCCATTTTGTGCTTTCAAAGCCAAAGTGAGCCACAAGGCCTTGTTTGTACCATCAGAAGAAAGAAATGTACCAGACTGCAGTGATTTAAATTGTGCAGCCAGTCTGGAGAGACCTGCCAGGTTTGTGATGACCTTCTAACAAACATGAGAAACAAGATTCTAACGAGCTCGGGAGTTTTCTTCAAACCTAATGAGGGAGGATCCCAAAGGAGCTTGGCTCAGAGGAGACTGAGAAATCCAAGAAGAGAAAGAAAAATACAGAAGTGCAGCAGAATCAGAGAAAGAGAAAAAAGAAACTAAAAATAATTTTATAGAGAGAAGTTACAAGATCCTACAGGATTCAGGCTAGAAACTGAGCTCAGGTGAGATCACGCAGGATTTAGGCCGGATCACTGTGGGACCACCTTGTTTGGAGCAGTGGAAATGAGCACAGAGCCTTTGGCAGGACCAAAATCCCACAAACAGCAAAGGAAGGTAGAGGATAAGCAGGAAATGTCCAGAGAAGAGGCAGGGAAAATTGTCCTGAAAGATTCCATTGGCTTGGACACAACCCCTGGTCCAGCTGGACAGAACCAAACATGTACTTGGGAATCTCGCCCAGCCTCCAGCCCCAAAGCTGGGAGGAGAGGAGTAATTCCCATGGCTCCCAAGCCCTCGGCCACTGGGATGGGTGGGAAGTGGGTCTGGGCCAGGTTTTGCTGCAGAAGATGATGGATTGGGGTTGAGAGGGGCCTGGACCTCTGCTCTTTACAGCCCCCACGGGGACTGAGTGTGGCCAAATCCTGTCCCAGTCCTGAGGAGCATCTGGGGACTCAAGTCCTGAAGCTGCAGAGATGTCGGAGGTGAACCTTTCTTGTCTTACAGGAACTGGGGAGCAGGCAAGACTCAGAGGTCAAAAAATCAACAGGAAATCGTGGATTGTACCCTGTGGCTCCTCACCCTGGTGAGGAAACCACAGCAAAGGGCTCAGAGCCACAGCTTGGGCTCCAGGAATTCTGGGTTCCAGCTGAGGACTCAGAGGGAAGTGGAGATTCACCACCTGGAACCACCAAAGTGCTGAAGCTGGGGTGTGTCCTGCAGTTCTGGATGAGACTGGACCCAAACCCAGAAGTTCTGTGGGTTAGCCAACCATCTCATGGTCCTCACAGCCCATCCCACCTCCCTCTTCTCCCCAGGGATGTCCCAGACCAGGTCCCCATGTCCCAGTCCTGGTACCTGCCATGTTCCAGTGCTGAGCTTTCTTATCGGGTGGGCGGTAGATGAACTTGCGGAGGGAGCTGACGGTGTGGGAGCCCACCAGCGTGTAGCGCCCGAAGGCCCGGCAGTCCACCACGCGGATGTTCAGGGGCGGGTGCAGCAGCTCGTTCTCCGGGAGGTCCTGGGAGGCAGAGGAGGGATGGTTATCACGGACTGGGAGCACCTGGTTTGGTGGTTGGGAAGGACAGCTGGGATTAGGAATGGGGTCATGATGGGAAGGACAGTTGGGATTGGGAATGGGATCATGCTGGGAAGGGCAGTAGGGATTAGGAATGGGGTCATGATGGGAAGGGCAGTAGGGATTGGGAATGGGATTACACTGGGAAGGGCAGTAGGGATTGGGAATGGGATCATGCTGGGAAAGGCAGTAGGGATTGGGAATGGGATCGTGCTGGGAAAGGCAGTAGGGATTAGGGCAGAGCTGTTCCAGCAAAATATGGCTTGGGAGCCCTCAGGTAAAGAAAGGAATGGTATCCAATGTGTTCCATTGTTTTGGGAAAACTGGAGTAAAAGGTTCAGAGCCACGGTGGGGTCCAGAAATTCTGGTGGGTTCCAGCTGAGGGATCAGAGGGAAGGGACCACACTCACCACCTCGAACCACTTGACCAAAGTGCTGAAGTTGGGGTTTTTCTTGTAGTTCTGGATCAGGGCAGACTGGACACCCTTCCCAGCACACTCAATGTCCACGCGGGGCCGGTCCACCTGGGCCAGGTTCACTCTCTTCAGGTCCCTGAGCCCCCAGAACAAGATCTAGGGCAGGAGGAGGAGGAGGAGGAGAAGGGAGCATGTGAACGTGAGAGGGACAATCCCTGGGAGCTGGTTCTCCATGGAGAGGGATCCCACTTCTGCTGTCATCATAGGGCAGTGGTGGATCCCTGAGGCATCTCCTCCTGACAGCCTGCTGCCCTCAACACCCTTTTTCCTGCTTTTCTCCCTTCCTGGCTTTTTCCTGCCCTGGGAATCCACAGAGCAGCTCTGTCCATCTGTGGTGGCTCTGGGTGCAGCACTGCCATCGCTTTGTCCCAGTGGAATCAGTGTCACTGGGGAAACTTCACTGTCCTACCATCCACCATCCAAAATTCCCAAAAATGGAGATTTTTCCCTCCTCCTCATTCCCCATGGCTCAACTGAAATTGAGAGGAGAACAACTCATTTATCACAAATGTGTGGAAAACCAGGAGCCAAGATCCCTTTGGAGGCCTGGTCAGTGGCACCTCACCTGAGCAGAGACACCTTTATGTGGGGCCGAGATGTGCCCTGAACATCCCTGTGGGCGTTGCCTGGGTCATGGATGTCCACCGGGACCTCCAAGGGACACGGGCCCTCATGGGACACATCACGGAACCATGGAATCGTTTGGAAAATCCCTCCCAGCCCATGGAGCCCCAGCTGTGCCTGATCCCCACCTTGTCCCCAGCCCAGAGCTCTGAGTGCCACATCCAGGAATTCCCTGCACACCTCCAGGGATGAGACTGCAGCAGCTCCCTGGGCAGCCCCTGCCAAGGCCTGAGCTCCCTTTCCAGGCAGAAATTCCTGCTGCTGTCCAAGCTGAGCCTGCCCTGGCCCAGCCTGAGGCCATTTCCCCTTGTCCTGTCCCTGTGCCCTGGGAGCAGAGCCCGAGCCCTCCTGGCTGTCCCCTCCTGGCAGGGACTTGTGCAGAGCCACAAGGTGCCCCTGGAGCCTCCTTTTCTCCAGGCTGAGCCCCTTTCCCAGCTCCCTCAGCCTCTCCTGGGGCTCCAGCCCCTTCCCAGCTCCGTTCCCTGCCCTGGACACGCTCCAGCCCCTCCAGGGCTCTTGTGTCAGGAGGGGCCCAGAGCTGCCCCCAGCACTGGAGGTGCCCCAGCAGTGCCAGCACAGGGGACGGGCACTGCCCTGGGTTGTGCCCACACTATTTTGGATACAAAATCCCCCTTTAGATATCCATGGTTAGATGAGAAGCATCCCATCCTTGTTGTCTGAGGTTGATGGGGTACAGAACATCTGAGATATGGGATTGCTTTGGGAGCAGATGATCCAGCTCTGTGTCCATCTCAAACGTTCCCTGGGCTGCATCTCAGCCCAGGTACTGCTCACTCACTGTCCTTCCCAGGTATGACAGCAAGGAATGATCCAATTCCCTGGTTTTTTTAGGGATGCTGCAGCCTGGTTCCCAGTCTGGCCACCATGGACAGATCCTTGACTCCCAGTTCCCTCCTGCCCTTCCAGCACCCTTGGAGATGCTCTCCTGCCCCGGGCAGCCCTCCACATGGACACTGGTTACCTCCACTCTGTATCTGCTCAGCACCGGCCGAATTCCCAGAGGCACTGGCAGGATGGGACCTCGGTCCATGTCCGTGGGGCCGTCGATTGGGGGCAGGTCTGATTTACCCCCAGGGCCGATCTGCAGGAGATGGATCACGGGTTAGGATCTGCTACTCTGAGCTGCTGGGAAGTGGTTTTTGTCCTTCTCACAGAATTGTGGAATCGCAATTGGTTTGGCTTGGGAGGGACCTCAATGATCAACCCCTGCCATGGGCAGGGGCGAATTCCGGAGGGACCTGGGCTGTGTCCCAACTGGAACTGGTCCCAGTTGTTGGATCTGGGGTGTCTCAGAGGGCTGAGAGCCCAGGGCAGGTGCTCTGGGAAGAGGAAAACACAGGAGCAGAAGGTGCTGGGAATTGCTGTCCTTCCACACAGAACAGTCCCAGAGCAACCCAAACTTTTCAGCCCACCAATGTATCCCATCCCAGAGCTGCTCCATCCTGGAATTGCATCTGCTGAGCTGTAGTAGGAAATGGAGATGTGGTCCTGGAGCTCAGCCCAGGAGCAGCTTTAAGGTCCCATTTCCAGTCCAGGGCTTGGGAAAGATAAAATATTCCATGTGAGCAATTCCCCCAGTCCAAGGAAAATCGGGAGAAAAGGGGCTTGGATGAGCACCTGCCCTGGCAGGAAAAGGAGACGGGAAAACATTTCAGCTTTTTCAGAACAGGAGGCACAAAAAAAAGTGGGAGAATTTAACTCTGGCATTGCCCCAGACCAGGAATCATGGAATGGTTTGGGCTGGGAGGGACTTTGCAGACCACTGAATTCCACAGGCAGGGGCACCTTCTGCCTTTCCAGGCTGCTCCAAGCCTCATCCAGGCCTCGGACACTTCCAGGTGTCTTTGATGAACAACAAGTGGTTGATCCATCCAAGAGAGACTACAAGGGCTCAGCAGACCAACAACCAGGTGAAGGGGCAGTTATTCCTGGTCATTCCCAGTTGTCCCTCTCTCTTCCAACCCTGCATCCATTCTCCCCATCCCTTTGTCCGGCTGGCACCTGGAGTAGCTCGAAGGCGGCCAGCAGGTCCCCGGCTGTGGCGTTGCCGCGGTAGATCTGGTAATATTCCAGCTGCGGCGGGAAGCGCGGGGGGCAGTACTGCTCATCCGACATCTTCACCACCGGCTTGGCGAATGTTCGGCCCATGAAATCGGCTTTTCCCTACGGAAAGAGTGCTTGGGGTTGGGGATCCAACACAGGTTGCCAATCCAACACAGGTTGCGGGTCTCCCCAGGAGCACTTGGGGTTGGAAATTCAACATAGGAATTCCAAAATTACCCCTGTGGTTCTTCGCAAGAGCCGCTGTGGTTGGAGATCCAACACAGGAATTCCAAGATTAGCCCTGTGGTTCTCCCCAGGAGCCCTTGGGGTTGGAGATCCAATACAGGAATTCTAAGATTAGCCCCGTGGTTCTCCAAGAGAGTGCTTGGGGTTGGGGATCCAACATGGGAATTCTAAAATTATCCCTGTGATTCTCTCCCCAGGAGCACTTGGGGTTGGAGACCCAACATGGGAATTCCAAAACTACCCTGTGGTTCTCCGCAAGAGCCGCTGTGGTTGGAGATCCAACACGGGAATTCCAAGATTATCCCCGTGGTTCTCCACAAGAGTGCTTGGGGTTGGGGATTCAACATGGGAATTCTAAAATTATCCCTGTGATTCTCTCCAGGAGAACTTAGGGTTGGGGATCCAACACAGGAATTCCAAAATTAGCTCCATGGTTCTCCCCAGGAGCGCTTGGGTTTGGAGATACAACACGGGAATTCCAAGATTAGCCCTGTGGTTCTCCACAAGAGTGCTTGGGGTTGGGGATCCAACACGGGAATTCCAAGATTAGCCCTGCGGTTCTCCCTAGGAGCACTTAGGGTTGGGGATCCAGCATGGGAATTCCCAAATTACCCCTGCGATTCTTCCCATCATGGTCGGACCAGGAATGAGATCAGTGCTCTGGTTTTGGTCTGCCAAAGCCCAGGGAAAACTTTCAGTCATGACTCCTTGAAGGAGGTTTGGGACAGCTGAAGGTTGGGACACCAAGGAGGCCAGGGATGAGCACTTTTCCCAAATGGAAAGGCTCCTTGGCTGCAGCCTCTTTCTTCCCTCTCCAAAAATAAGATACATCAAGCCACATCTGAGATTTATGAGCAGAAGCTCCATGGTAGATGTGACAGGACCATTTTCCAAGAATCAGGAGAGAAAAAAAGCTCCCCAAATCCTCTGCCTCCAAATCTGGAGAGATCCCGGCATCCAAACCACGCACAATTCCGTGGGATTTTCTTACCACGGTGTCCTGGTCGTAGATCTCGATGACGATGATGGGGGGGTCATCCCGCATCTCGTGAGCTTCCCCGTACAGCTCCACGTTGTCGAACACCAGGAGCTGGTCCCAGGTTGGGCAAAGGGTCTCGTTGAGAACCTGGGAAAATGGGAGGGATTCCTACTGCTGCAGGAATGGACCAGGGTCCTGGGAAAGGGTGGCAGGTGGGGCTGCTGTGTGTTTTTTGGATCAGGGAGACATTGGGAATTTCCCAAGGATTCTTCTGAGGGAAGCAATCCAATAGCAGATGAGCAGAGCTGGATTATTCCCAGTGTCCAGGCTTCATAAATCTTGGAGACCCTTGGACTGGGAAGACTAAAAAATCACTTTAGCATGACCCAGTTCTGCCTAAACCGGCAGGGAATTACAGGGAATTGCAGGGAATCGCGGGGAATCACGGGGAATCGTGGGGAATCGCGGGGAATCGTGGGGAATCGCGGGGAATCACAGCCAGTGGGATGTGGGACATATATTGGGAATGGACTCCTGGGGAGAGATCTCCTGGAAAGAGTCAATGCCCAATTCCAGAGCTGCTCTCCCCCCACAGGAGCACGGGATCAGCCTAATCCTTGTTCATGGGATCTGTGCCACGGGAGCAGTGTGGAGCCTGCAGAGCCGCATCCCTCCATGCCTGCATCCCAGAAATGTTCACCTCGGTGCACTGGCTCTGGGAGATGAAGAAGACCCGTGCAAAGGGATCCGAGAGGCCGCTGCTGTCGGCTGCGAACAGACTCCTGGCTTGGTACATGTGGGCTCGCAGCTGGAACACCTGTTTCTCTGGAAGAGAGAGGGAATGGGATGGGATGGCCTCTGGGAGCCCGCCCAAGGGACATCTCAGGAGCCTGGTTTTGCTCATGGGTGAAGGATCGCAACTCAAAGTGTAAATCCCAAATAAATAGGGATTTCCTTGGCATCCTTGTTGCGTGGGCAACAACTCTGAATAGGATTGTCATGAGGGGACACAATTCCCACCCCACAACTCTCCTGAGGCAACTGGAACGATTTCCCCCTTAACTCCTGGAAACCCTTGGACCAGGGGGTGTCCAGCCAGGCTCCCTCCCTCTCGCCCTCTCCATGCCCCATCCCATGGGAGCTCCTTACTGGTGTACAGGAGGCTGATGGGTGGGAAGGAGGGCAGGTTTTGGCCTCGGGGCACTTTCTTCTCCTCGAACCCACAGGGGAGGCCGCTCAGGTAGTCCTTGCGCTGCTTGTTGAGGCCCAGCCACAGGTAGATCTCCATCTTGGCCTGGACTGTCCATCCAGCCGGGCCGAACCCCCTCTTCCCGGGGAGCTGGGCACAAGGAATGGGAGAGTTCACGTGGATATGGGGAATATGGACAGACCCCTCTTGGAGAACCCAATCTCTTTGGGGCATTGTGCTGCTGTTGTTTAAACCCAAGAGTCCTTTGGGATCACGACACTGCTCTGGCTCGTGCATTGTCCTCTGCCCACCGTCGTTTCCTTTTCCTAAGCCAGAAATTCTCTGGATCTCCAGCTGGATCAAACATCTCCCTCTTCCCAAACATTTCCCACTTAGCGGACTGGGTAAGGTCGGTGCTTCAACCTCCCTAGGGGCAGATTTCCACCCCTAGCAGCAGAGCATGAATCATATTCTTGCAATGTTCAAGCCCAGCAAAAATGGATACAAAACTCTCATCCTCGTCTCCCAAATTCCCTCCTTTTTCCTCCCCTTGGCTGCAGCTTCCCCGGGACAGGCGGATCCTCACCTTGAGGAAAACCGTCTTCACTTTGGCGCAGTCCTTGCCCATCTCCTCGTCCACGATGGAGTACAGGATGTCCTTGGAAGGGATGCGGGCGTAGGCGATGCGCTTGTTGTTGCTCATCATCCAGATGAAAACGTCGGGAATTGTGTGCTGGGGCTGGGAATGCCACAGGAGAGCCCTGTCAGTGCCCCAGCTCTGACCACGGAGGCACCGGCGGGGCTGGAGACCTGCTGGAGGCAAATCCAACAGATTCCATGGAAGATGGGTGTGGCTGGTGCCACACTGGGGGGGACCGGAACTGTTTTGAGATTCCCACTCCAAAAAAGCTGCTCAGAGCTATGCCCGTCAGGAAAGAAACTGGGATTTATGTTGGTTAAAGTTTAAAAAAAATAAAAATTTGGGCATGGAAGACTGAAGGTTTTCCTTCTCTCCTCCTTCCCTGACCTTGGGGAGGAGAAGGCAGTGGCCATTCCTTTATCCCTTTCTAGGGAAAGGTTCCCAGTTTGGACAGGGCCCATCACTCCTCAAATCTGGATTGGGTCAGGACCAAGGAGGGCCTGGCTGTAACCAAGGATGGAGCTGGGAGCCTTCCCTGGGAAATGGAAGCAGGAGGTGGAACAGCTGCAGCTCCAGGGAGAGCCAAGAACCCCCTCTGAGCCACTCCTAAACCGGAAAAATGTCATGGAATCATTCCGGAACCTAAAGGAGCTCCAGGAGAGTGGGAGCGGGACTGGGGACAAGGCCTGGAGGGGCAGGACCCAGGGAATGGCTCCCAGTGCCAGAGGGCAGGGCTGGATGGGATATTGGGAAGGAATTCCTGGCTGGGAAGGTGTGGAGGGGCTGGGCTGGAATTCCCAGAGCAGCTGTGGCTGTCCCTGGATCCCAGGCCAGGCTGGATGGGGCTTGGAGCAACCTGGGATGGTGGAAGGTGCCAGAGTTGGAGCTGGATGGGATTTCAAATCTCTTCCCACCCAAACCAGTCTGGGATTTGATGTCTCATCTTCCACTTCCTGATTTCCCAGGGATCCACAGGATCCCTCCATGGCAGAGACCTGCTGAAACATCTCCAGCTCTGCTGCAGGAGGACCCAGCTCTGTCCCTGCCTGGGAAACTCTTTAATTTCTTTTACATGAGATCATTCCCACCCAGGAGCACACAGGGGTCATGGGGCAGCTCATGGACTTGGAATGGCTCCTTGCAGAGACCTCACCTGCCCTTGGAGGTATCCATCCATCATCCATCCATCCATCCATCCATCCATCCATCCATCAATCCATCCATCAATCCATCATTCATCATCCATCCATCCATCATCCATCATTCATCCATCATCCATCCATCATCCATCATTCATCCATCATCCATCCATCATCCATCCATCCATCCATCATCCATCCATCATCCATCCATCATCCATCCATCCATCCATCATCCATCCATCATCCATCAATCATCCATCCATCATCCATCCATCATCCATCCATCCATCATCCATCCATCATCCATCCATCCTTCATCCATCATCCATCCATCATCCATCCATCATCCATCCATCATCCATCCATCATCCATCCATCATCCATCCATCATCCATCCATCCATCCATCATCCATCCATCCATCATCCATCCATCCATCATCCATCCATCATCCATCCATCCATCATCCATCCATCATCCATCCATCCATCATCCATCCATCATCCATCATCCATTATCCATCCATCCATCATCCATCATCCATCCATCCATCCATCCATCCATCCATCCATCCATCCCAGCTTTCTGTCTCCATGAGCTGCCCCAGCCAGAGCCCCATCTGCCCTTGAAGGACCCACCTCGTCTGCCAGGAACCGCAGTTTCTGCAGGAAGTTCTGCACCAACTTCAGCTTGTCCTTCATGGTGTTCCTCTTGACCTGGGAGCGCAGGGCCGTGGCCTGCTGGGCCATGTTCTCCTGTGGGGACAGCCGGGACATCAGGACACAGCTTGGACAAAGGAAATCAATCTCACCACGCCAGGGTGGACACCGTCAGACACATTTTTGTTGACCTTGGCATGGGAGAGCCCTGGAGAGGGCAGAGACAGCTCAGGAGAAGATGTCACCCCAAAGGTGTCACCTGAGCTTGGAGAATTTTGGGGTGGCTTAAGGAAGATGCCTCTCCTGCTGTCACCGAGCTCCTGATCCTTGGAACTTCCATGGGAATGCATGGAATTTAACAATTCCTGGCTCTCGAGGATGCAGCTGGCCACTGAAGCTGGTGTCCTTTGCTGTGCCAGCTGGAGAAGCCACCAGCTCCTCGTCCATCTCTCCTGCACATCCTTGGCAAGGAGTGGGGCCACCACCTCTGTCCCTGGGGCAGCTCTGCTCTGTGGGGTTCCTAAAATCACCCCCAAACTTCTGTCCATGTCTGCTCTGTGGGGTTCCCAAAATCACCCCAAACCTCTGTCCCTGGGGTGCTCTGTGGGGTTCCCAAAATCACCCCCAAACTTCTGTCCCTGGGGCAGCTCTGCTCTGCAGGATTCCCAAAATTCCCCTTTCCAGCTCCTCTGTGCTCCCAAATTTCTTTCCAGAGTCTGGTGGAGGGGATGCAGGAGAGGTCCCGGTGACACCTGGGGCTTGGGTGAGACCTGAGTGGGCTTTGGGCTCCTCTGCTCAGAATTAAACCCCAAGCCCTCGACCCCCAGGGACTGGAAACCGGAGTGTCCATGGACCAAATTCCAGCTCCTGCTCAGGAATCCTCCTCCACGCTTCCCAAAGCTTCCCTGAACAACCCGTGCCAGGGCCTGCCCACCCTGCCAGGGAACAATTCCTGCCCCAAATCCCATCCAGCCCTGCCCTCTGGCACTGGCAGCCATTCCCTGGCTCCTGGGCCTCCAGACCTTGTCCCCAGTCCCTCTCCAGCTCTCCTGGAGCCCCTTTAGGGACCAGATCCCACTCACCAGCTCCCGCATGCAGGATTTGAGCCTCTCCCGGTCCAGCCTCGTGCGGGACGAGTGATGCTGGTCGTTGTCAGCCAGGGTCAGGAAGCGCCTGCGGGGAAAGGCCGCCCGGTGATTCCCATGAGAATTCCCAGGGAATTCCCTTCCCAGGGAACTCTCTGCCAGCCTAGCCACGTCCCTGGAGGGAAACGCTCTCATTCCCTCCAATCTCCAACAAAACTGTGGATGAGAGGCCGGTTCAGAGTGTGGACTCAGAGTCAGGAAGGGACAGGAGGTGTCATCAGGTGCTGCCAGGAGCCACCAGGAGCCACCAGCAGCCACCAGCCTGTGGAGGCCACAGGATTGATGTTTTCACCGCTGCTTTGGGGTGCAGACGGAAGCACTGTGCTCCAGCCCAAAAGATCCGGTCCTGTGCCAGTGTCATGGAATGTTGTTCCATCATCCCGAGGACAGGGCACGGTGAGGTGACATTCCCACCCTTCCCACGTGCCACTCACAGGCAGCCGCTGCTCAGCTCCTCCAGGACCCCTCGGAGCCGGCGCTCTGGGTGCGGTTTCTCTGTCTTGATCATCTCCTGCACGTCGTTGAGCCCCTCCTCCTGCAGCACCAATGGGGACAGCGTGAGGGGTGGGGGGCCAGGGACCCCCTGATCCAACCCCACACTGAGGGAAACTCCAGCTGCTTCCCTGGACACGGTTGGGGACCCAGCTCTGGGTGCTGGGAATGGCTCTGGTGCCCTCAAGGACTGAGCTGGCCAAGATCCAAACCCTCTTGGAGGGACCTGTCAGGGGGACCTTTCCCAGATCCTGCCATGGTCCTGCTCATGTGGAGCTCTCCCGAAGGCTCCTTGGGAGTGTACTGAGACTTAATCATGAAACCATGGAATGGTTTGGGTGGGAATCACTGAATTCCAACTCCATTGCCACGGGCAGAGACACCTTCCACTATCCCAGGATGCTCCAAACCCCATCCCTTGGAGCCTGTGCAGGGCCTCCCCACTCTCACAGAGGAGAATTCCATCCCAATGTCCTGCCCAAATCTCCCCTCTTCCAGTTCATATACATTCCCCCTTCTCCTGTCCCTCCAGGCTTGTCCCAAGTCCCTCTGCAGCTCTCCCAGAGCTCCTTTAAGCTCTGGAAGGGGCTCCAAGGTATCACTGGAGCTTTTCCTTCCCTGGCTCTGCCACATGAGTGCTTCACCCCTCCAGCCCAGGTGACAAAGCCTCCCCACTCCTGTTCCCTTTTGTGGGAATGTTTGGATCTGACCCACAGAATTCCCAAGGAGCTGCTGGAATTTGGTGATTCCTCCCTGGGAATTTCCCCCTTTCCAGGTACTGCCTGTCCCTGCTTTGCACCAAGGTGCAGGGAGCCTGGATGTGGCTGTGTCTTGTGCCAGTCCCACATCCCTGCTGTGTCCCCTCTGTCCCTCCCTGTCCACCCCTGACCCTCCCTGTCTGCCCCTGTCCCTGTACATCTCTGACTACCACTGTTCATCCCTGTCCACCCCTGTCCATCTCTGTCCATCCCTGTCCCTCCCTGACCACCCCATCCACCCCTGTCCCTCCCTGTCCACCCCTGTACATCTCTGTCCACCCCTGTCCCTCCCTGTCCACCCCTGTCCACCCCTGACCATCCCTGTCCACCCCTGTCCCTCCCTGTCCATCCCTGTCCACCCCCTCCATCCCTGTCCATCCCTGTCCATCCCTGTCTGCCCCTGACCAGTTTGTCTGCGATCTTGTCCATGATGTTGGCGTTGTAGAGCCGGCGCCGCTGGTCCTGCCACCAGCTCCGGATGTAGATGCAGGGCTTCTTCTCCAGGTAGGGCAGGTGGAAGTAATTCCTGCAAGGGAGGCAGGAGGAACACTCTGTGGGGTCCTGGCCTGGACCCCATCCCGGTGCTCTCCCAGGATGTGCCATGCTGGGAAAGGGGGTACAGGAGCTCAGGAGCTGCATCCTGGAGAGCAGAGGCTCCGTTTCTCCCGAAGCCATTCCCGGTGCCAGGCCCAGGATGGATGGGCGCAGTGCCCCATCCCTGGGAATGGCCAAGGCCAGGCTGGACGGGGCTTGGAGCAGCCTGGGACACTGGGATCTGTCGGGGCTGGAACTGGGTGATCTTTAAGATCCCTTCCCACCCAGGCCATCCTGGGATTCTCCCAGCTGCTCCCACCCCTGCCCAACCTGTCCTTGGAATGGTGGCGGCACTGCCAAAGGAAGGGCGATCCACACTCTTGGAGCGCTGGCCATGAGCAGGCATCCACCACCTGGACAGGGGAATCTTGCTGCACCTGGAATCACCAGGAGTCAAATCCAGCTCTTGCCGGGTATTCCCACCAGATGTCAGCAGTGCCCCGTGGTTGAGCGGGAGGCCCCCAGCTCCCAGAGGCTGGAGATTTTTGGGAAAACGGGGTGGGAGAGGCCCCAAAGCATCGGAACTTCTCATCTCCCCTTGGGATTCAGCTGGACAAAGAGCTGAGGAACAGAGGAGGGAATTCCAGAGGGACTTAACTCTGCTGGATATTTATGGAAACAGGGAGGGAATTCCAGGGAGACACTTCACTGGGTTTTCTTTTCCCAATTGATTTAATCCGATGGTGAATTCAATTAACGCCAATCTACTGCTAAAACTTGATAGAAATCCACTTGAAGTGTATCTCATAATCTTAAATCCAATTATCTTTCTTATCCCAGTCCTTGGGATGCAAATCCAGGCCTCCCTGGGCACATCTCAACAGGCAGAGGATTTGAGCATTATTGTCCCAATCTCCTGCCTGATCCATTCGCAGATCTTTCCAGCAGTTTTTCCATCTGAGATTTCACTGCCCAGGCCACCACTGACCCGTGTCCGCAAGTGCCACACGAGGTGGACACACTGACCACACAAATCCAGGTGGACACAGTGACCTGTCTGTGACCAGGTGGACACACTGACCACACAAATCCAGGTGGACACACTGACCTGTCTGTGTCCAGGTGGACACACTGACCCGTCCATGACACTGACCACACAAATCCAGGTGGACACACTGACCCAGTGCCCGGGTGGACACACTGACCCAGTGCCCGGGTGGACACACTGACCTGTCCGTGACCAGAGGCTTCATGGGCTGGGATGAAGAAACGGAGACCAGCTCTCCATCCTCACCACCTTCATCCTCACTGGAATTCTGGAGCAGCTCCGACTCCTCCTCGTCCCCATCCCCTCCCTCCTTCTTTCTCCGCAGGAGGGGTTTGCTGGAGCCATCCACCTGGTTGCCATAGTTACCTCAAGGGGAAAAAAAAGACGGAATCGGTTCACAGGGTTGGAACTCCCAGCTCTGGGACTGAATTTGGGTTGTCAGAAGTTTTCTCTGCTGGAATCACAGAGAATGTCAGAGTTTGACTTCCTGGAACCACATCCAGGAGCTGGAAATTAGGGAGAGGTGTCTGTGCCCTGCTCCTGTCCCCTCTCAATCCCTTTGGGAATACATTCCCTCCTGGAGCTGCTGTCTCCAGAGCACAAAGCCAGGATGGGAGAGGGATCGGGTCCCCTGGCCACAGCCCATCAGGCACAAAATACGGGACGTGGGGTCCCACATCCCTCATGCCCACGGAGGAGCCATTCCCCGCTCCCCAGACCCGCTCTAGCAGGGGTTGGAATGAAAAATTGGGAGTAAACCCCACTCCCAGCTTTGGATTCTGATTTTCACAACCCATCACAGTCCCCGAACCAACAACCAACCTATGGTGACCTCAAAGTTAATGGGTTTGTCCCCGATCTTCCTGTCGATCATGGTGGCCTCCAGGAAGGCTCCGAAGAGAAAGAATTCCTCCATCTTCCCGCTGCAGTTCTGCAGGAGAAAGAGATCCCAGGGCTGAGGGTCCATCCCTCGGGATGCCATTTCCAAAGGGACCAGGAGGGTTCTGACTCCCATTTCTTGGCTCGTTGTAGGGAGTGTTTAATTAAAGGTTTCATTTTAATATCTTTTAATTAAACCTTGGACTGTGTTGGGACCCATCACCCCTTGCCCAGGAGGGGCTCTCAGGGAAATTCAGGAATACAAGCCTGAGTTCACCCCCACCGAACTGATCGAAGCACACAAATCCAGGTGCCTGGATGCTCCCATGGAATCGGAATGGTTCTGTTTCCAGGTGGTTTCATTCCCCCTGGCTGGTAAATCAGTGAGATCCTTGGTTTCTGATTGAAACCCATCAGGATATGAGCGGAACAACTGGAATTAGGGGATGAGTCACTGTCCGCGTGTATTTCCCACATGGAAAAACATCCCTAAGTTCAGGAGCTGATAGAAATCGTGGAATGGCTTGGGTGGGAAGGGACCTTAAAGATCATCTGGTTTCATGGGCAGGGTCATCTTCCTCTATCCCAGGGTGCTCCAAGCCCTGTCCAGCCTGGCCTTGGACACTTCCAGGGATGGATCATCCACAGCTTCTCTGGGAATGCTGTGCCAGTGCCAGACAAACAATGTCGCTGACATTCCCAGCTCTCCTAAGGGAAGTGAGCACTGGAATGATCCTAAAACCTGGAGTCCTGTGAGATTTCCTTCCATTGCTCTGTGGGATGCAGAATATCTGGGACAACACTTGAAATCCTCGATTTGTGAGACCAAAGGTAACAGTACGATATTCCCGAGACCCCAAACTGCCCCCTGGGATGCTGCGGGGTCACGGGGACATCTGTGGGGTCACTTACGTCAGCCACCGCCGTGGCCTGCTCCACCTGCACCTCGGTGGAGCTGTTGATCTCGGGGTTGGTGGTGTCCAGGATCTCCACGGCCAGGCCCAGCAGGAGCCGGGCGCGGAAGGAGACGCCCTCGCCCAGGCCCTCATTGAGCTCCTGGTGCTCATCCATGAGGGTGTAGTTCCGGGTGGAGCCGTACATGTTCACCCAGGCGGGGCCGAAGGTGGGCAGGAAACCTGCAGGGACGGAATGGGCAGGTGGGAAGGGGACGGAGAAGGGAACATCTTGGTGCTCGTGGTTGGCTCGTGGTCTCTGTGTGGTGGCGCAGGCTGGGCTATGCTCTTGCGTGTCCATGGAAGTGCGGTTGCGCCATCCATGGAGACAATTTTCAGGGAATCCCAGGATCCCTGAGGCTGGAAAATCCCTCCCAGCCCATGGAGCCCCAGCTGTGCCTGATCCCCACCTTGTCCCCAGCCCAGAGCTCTGAGTGCCACATCCAGGAATTCCCTGCACACCTGCTCCCTGGGCAGCCCCTGCCAAGGCCTGAGCTCCCTTTCCAGGCAGAAATTCCTGCTGCTGGCCAAGCTGAGCCTGCCCTGGCCCAGCCAGGGTGAGTGGAAGGATTTAAGTCCTTTACCTCCATCTGCTGCCTAATGCATTTGCAGATTTTTCCAGCAGTTTTTCTGTTGGATCCCAGCACTGCCAAGGCCACCACTAACCCATGTCCCCAAGTGCCACATCCAAATGGCTTTTAAATCCCTCCAGGGATGGAAACTCCACCCGTGCCAGGGATGAACAGCTGCTTCCAGGAAGGAATTTTCCTAAAATCCAACCTGACCCTCCCCTGTTCCTTCTCATCCTGTCCCTGCTCCCCCTCAGCTGCCCTCTCATTTCAGGATGTTGTGCAGAACCCAAAGCTCCCCCCGGAGCCTCCTGGGTTTTTATTTCCAGGGAAATTTGCAGGAAGGCAGTGATGGGAACTGGGCAGGTCTTCAGCAATTCCCCATTTCGAGGGCTGGGGAAGGAGAATCCCCCATTATCCCCTTTCCAGTCCCATGTCTGGTTTCCCGTCTTTGCCCACGTGTGGGAATGGGGAGCCTGAAAAACAGTCATCCCATCCATGGAATTTTCAGAAGAGCAAATTGTTCTGGGGTGTCTCTGCTTTCAGGCATTGGCTGAAGGTCCTGTGATGGGTCTTGGTTTTCAGGGTGTTGGTCCAGGAACTTCTCACATTTCAGGACATCAGGGTCTCTCCAGATGAGCAACAAGGAATTCCAGGGGTGGGGAGGAGCCTGGAAAACTTTGGGAGCTCTGCTAAAGGAATGCCCCCACTTCAATTTTACCTTTGTCCCCTTCATTGGAGATCTTCCTCAGATCGATGAAATGGGTCCCGATGGCCACGTCATTGACCTTGTCCGAGTCCCGGATCTGGACCTTGATCCGTTTGCACAGTGGGGGAAACATCTCTGTGAAGATGATTTGTTCATTCCAGAGGGGCTCATAGCTGCTCTTTTGTATGGATGTCTTTCCCTGGGAATTGAGAAGCGACGGATATCAGACAAGGGTTGGATCTTCCAAACTATCCCTCACCACCTGAGCTGCTCCCTTCCAGCCATTCCTGAGTAAGGAATCCCCTTCCTCAACTGGAGAGGGATCAAACCCATCCTGGAGAGTGAAAACAAGGTGATGCCATGCCCATCCCAATGTGGCAGGTGACACCATGCCCATTTTGATGTGCCAGGTGATGCCACACCCATCCTGATGTGCCAGGTGATGCCACACCCATCCTGATGTGCCAGGTGACACCATGCCCATCCCCGTTTGATGCCACACCCATTTTGATGTGTCAGGTGATGCCACGCCCATCCTGATGTAGCAGGTGACACCATGCCCATCCCCGTTTGATGCCACGCCCATTTTGATGTGCCAGGTGACACCATGCCCATCCCAATGTTCCAAGTGACTCCACGCCCATCCTGATGTGCCAGGTGACACCATGCCCATCCCCATGTGATGCCACGCCCATCCTGATGCACCAGGTGACACCACACCACACCCATCCCGATGTGCCAGATGACACCATATCTATCCCTATGTGATACCACGCCCATCCCGATGAGCCAGGTGGCACCACACCACACCCATTTTGATGTGCCAAGTGACACCACACCCATTTTGATGTGCCAGGTGACACCACGCCCATCCCAATGTGCCAGGTGACACCACACCACACCCATCCTGATGTGCCAAGTGACACCACACCCATTCTGATGTGCCAGGTGACACCACACCCATCTTGATGTGCCAGGTGACACCACACAACACCCATCCTGATGTGGCAGGTGACACCACGCCCATCTCAATGTGCCAGATGACACCACGCCCATCTTGATGTGCCAGGTGACACCACACAACACCCATCCCGATGTGCCAGGTGATGCCACGCCCATCCTGACTTGTGCAAGGATGACCGAGACCATCTCTGGCCTCCTGGTGGCCCTGCTGGTGTCACCTCCTGTGTCACCTCCTGTGGCCACCCTGGGACCTGCCCACTCACCTTCTGCCCCGCGAAGGCCACCTGCACATAGGGGTCCACCAGGTCCTTGTTCTCCCCGATGAGGGCCTTCTTGACGTTGGCCATGATGCTGGTGTTCATCCGCGGCAGCCCCTCGGCACGGTAGATCTTGATGTAGAACCGAGCCCACTGCCGCTCCGGGGGGACCCCGTCCGGGAGCAGGAGGTTCCTGGAATGTCAGGGGGTGGAGTTGGGAACAGCTGCTGGGGTGGGGTGGCCAGGGAAGACTGAAGGTTGGATGGGATGATCTCAGATGATCTTTTCCGACCTCTGAGATCCCATAAAAGACCAAAGAGAAGCTGTTCCATTTTCCGAGCTCCTTCCACTTCCACTGCATTCCGCAGAAATGGAATGAATGGGATCCTGGAAGAGTTGTTTGTTCCTTATCAAGGGGAGCTGGGGGGTATGATTTTGGGGATGAAATGAGCTCTTTCCATTTGTTTTTTTTGATATGTGGCTTTCCTCCTCTGCAGGAAGAGATGAGCCCATGGGGATGCTGTGAACAAAATATTCCTAGGGGAATTCTAGGAATTCTTGGAGTTGTGCGTGTCTGGTGGAAGGTGTCGCTGGCCATGGCAGGAGGGTGGGAACAAGGTGATCTTAAAGATCCCTTCCAAAACAAACCATTCCAGGATTTTAGGAACAACTAGGAGAACATCACAACTACAGCATGGAATGAAGCCCAAAGTTCTGGAGGTGGCTCCTCAGACCCCAGCAAGTGAGGAGTGCTGTGCTGGTGGTTTCTGACTGGATGGACTCAATCCCAGAGGTGTTTTCCAACCTAAACCATTCCATGATTCCATGTGGGGATGTGCCTGAGAGGCAGATTTGAAATGGAGATATTTTATTTAGCTGGAAAAGTTTTGGGGTTGGAATCAAGCCTTAAAGCTCCTGATTTCTGTTCTGTGACCTTTGGGATGTTCTGGGAAGTCCAGGAGCCCTGTCCACAGCCTGGGGAACCTCATCCAGGCTTCTATGCTCTGCCTTGGATTATGAGATCCCATCCCATCCCATCTTCCCACCCCGGATCCATCTGGAGTGTTAGGTAAAGACTGGGGACATCAGGCTGGGTGACACCAGGCTGGTGTTGCTATAGAGTTCCACCAGCAGCAGAAGTTCTGACCCCACAGGAAGGACAGCTGGGTGCTGGAGATCACCTGGAACTGCACCTGCACCACTCATTCCCTCTCAGAAAAGCCCCGAATCGGTCCCTCTGCTCTCACGGCTCGGCGTTTGCCACCAGCCCCAGGTTTGGGTCCTGCTATCCCACCCAAGGGAAAGAGAGGTGGAAAGCCATTCCCAAGGGAGCCGGGGAGACGCAGATCCCAGCAGGTTCCTACCCCTCAATGTCATCCTCGTCCGTCTCGTTGGCCTTGTGCGGGGTCTTGATGTTGTCCCCTTTGCCCACCACGGCGATGTCACACTTGAGGTAGCCCTTGAGNATCTGTGGCAGCCCCTGGATCCCTGGCAGTGTCCAAGGCCAGGCTGGACAGAGCCTGGAGTTCTCTGGGATAGTGGGAATGCCCATGGCAGGGGTGGAATTAAATTATCTTTAAAATCCCACCACTCCCAAACCGTCCCGTGATTCCATGATTCCAGGATGGGATATAGACCCTTGTCCAGAGGAGCCGGGTGCTCTTCCCTGAGCTACAAGCGAGTCCAGGGGACTTTGGGGGAAGTGT